AAAAAAAAATTATAACCAGAGAACATATTGAATCCTATATTTTTTTGACTACAATTCAGGTGATTTGCCCAAATGATGTGCGAAGCAGCTAGATCGCTTAATACACTAACACTACCAACTTGCCCAGATGGTGATTTTACCATAGAATGTGCATCGTCTGGTGACGAAGCTGCCGGCAGCTATTTTTCAACCTTACATACAGTTGATTCACAGCCTAAGGTATCTGTTACATTGGCTGACAGCAGTGAAGAGCTGGACGATTCAGCAGAAACCTCCAATGAAAGTATCGATACACAAAGATCCCGATCACATTTACGAATTCCGTCAATATATACCACAATTAGTCAGTAATTCTACTGCTAGACATTTTTTTGATTACTAGAAAATCTGTTAAACATTAATTCTTTAAAAAGGATTATAAATGGGTTTGCAAAACTGAAACACAGAAAATATGTCTGAAAAAAAAACAAAAAAATGAGTCAATTGTACAAATCACTGACTGTGATATTGTTTGCAGTGTGCAAAAAAAAATTCTTTACTCAATTAACCAAATGGTTTCAGCTGACGAGGATACCAATCCGTATGGCAGTGACGATGGTTTAGAAGAAAAATTGGATCAAAGATTTTTACATGTCGCTGAACTGTCAGTGTCAACCAGTAAACTTTTGGCTCCAAAAGTAAGCTTTTGAAGTATTACTGTAAAAAAAAAAAAGCATTAAAATTTTGCCAAACGTATTACATCATGAAGAACAAGTGGAAGAAAACTGAATAATAAAGAAAAATAAGCTTGAAGAGCTACGGGGGTAACAAGCATAAATAACCATTGATGGAATCATGGTCTTACAAAAAAATTATATTTGTTGTCCAATGATGCTAGAAATTTTAGTCTGTTATGTTATTTGAAACATTAAAATAATGCAAATAGTAATTATGCAACTGTTTTTTGAAAGCATAGACTAGGTCAAGTAATACCATTTCTTAGAAAATTCATTACTGTTAGTGCCAACAGCAACTACTTAACGGTATACTAAAGCAAAAGAATTTCACGTATTGCCAGCAAAAAAAAAAAAAAAGTTTGAAAAATTGCTGGAAGACTGACTTCTGATATTTATTCAGATAACTTTTTTGCTGCAAAATTGCTTTTTTCAGCTGCTATAGTTGTGCATCATTTTTTTGACCTTACCTTTTTTGCTTATTAATCGTCACTGGCGAAAAAAAAAAAGAAAAAAAAAGAGGAGGAAAAAAAGTGAGGAAGACCAGGCTTGGCAACAAAAGTTTCATCTGCTGCTTAAAAACAAAGCTTGGGCTTGTTTAGTTTCATCGAAATTTGTTCATCCCACCTTTTGCAAATGCAGTTTTGGTAACTTCAAACATAAATTTAAGGCTCAACATAGTTTATTTTCTCTCCTTTTTGCTCGTGTTATATCCCCAAAAGCAGATGCTCAGTTTTTACTATTCCTAGCAATTCTAATCCGCAAACGCCTCTTGTTTGCAACCTGTTAAGGGTTTTTGTTGTAATCCAGGGATTTTTTTTTTTTTGCTTAACACTCTGTTAATTGCATAGTTCTGTTTGGAAAGGGGAAACAAAGCGACATTTGAGTGCAGTTCACCTGTTTTGACTGGACGTTAATTTTACTGTGAAACAAAATTCTTGCTGTTCCGCTGGTATTCACTGCATCTGAAAGCTACAAAAGTTTCTTGCAAATTTTTTTTTTTTTT